CGCTATATAGTAATCTGCAACTATTTCGTACAAAGTATTATTATGAATTTAGTTTAGAGGCAGTTATTCTATGTTAGATATTTCCCTCATAAATAAAAGATATTTCTGAACTTGTAGTAAATTAAAAGAATTTTTTGAAACTTTACGGGAATGCAGTTTAGTATTTTAGCATATGAACTGATATATATTCTAAGGGAAAAATCTTTTTTATCGTTAATTCATCATTTCGAATGATTGATCTTTTATCAAAGTCATGCTTAAAGCAATAAAATTTGAATGTTATATTTGAATTTTGAAAGAGTGCCTGTAAATTTTTTTCTTAAACATTTCTTCGGTATCTATGTATAAATTTAAATAGTATTAAAATTAATTGAAGAAATTGTTCTGACGCGGCGAATATTTTTTGTTTATGAATTGCGAAAATTTATCCTAAAATAACAAACGTGTTTCTTTTTTCAAAAGTAAGTTTGTTAGATTTAGTTTTAGTACTGGTTAATCATGATTGATTATTCTGAGGTATTTGATGAGGCAACAGAGAAAAACGACAATAATAAAAAATAAAACGTAAAATAAAAGAATATATTAGGAAATAGAGATCCAAATTATTGAGAAATTTTGCACAGTATTTGTCTTATGTTAACTATAACGTTGATCTTTTCACTCTTTAACGATATTGCAATTTCTAGGAAAATTTTCGCGCATGCGCTATGAAAGTCATATTGCGCGAAGATTTGCGACAAGAGAAACAGTAAGGTTTTGCAAAATCTATCAAATATTCTAAATATATTCAATAAGGCTTCATAAAATTGTTATATTAAGTTAAGTACGGTCGGATAGCACACTTTTGTACATTTTATTTTTTTCTAAAGAGATTAATGTATCTCAAATGTTTACTGAAAAGATTCTAACACTTTAACTTATCCATTCAGTTTCTAAAATAAGCAGGATGTCAAAAAAGCATGGATACGATCAAATCTCTCGAAAAATACGTGTTGTACCAAAAATCTAACTGTGAAACTAACCTCTAGGGTTGAAGTTAGGGCTTGAGTTTGGTATCATTTAATGCATCCTTTGAAAATATTTCAAGCATGAACATTTAGACACAGGTATAAGAACATTAGACACGGTGTATTTACATGAAAATTTAATATTTCTATATTTTGGGGCACTCTATATATTTGTACAGTGTCTTAAAAGGAAAAATTGCATACACCTAATTAATATGAATCTCTTCATAAGGAACCACTTTTTGATAATATGATTTTTTGAATCAAAGTTAGGCATTTTTGATTGTTGAAATGTATTGTTTTTCAACATTATACCATATAATGTGTCTAGTCACTATCACTCATATTAATCGAACTTTTATTTTTTAGACGTTTTAGAAGACAAAATTGCGCCAAATAATTCTTCATTACTATCTAATTCAACAAGGTTTAGCATAAGGTTAGACTTTATTAAAGAAAAATACTTCTTACAACTTGATTCTATGAAGGCTTTCCTTGTCAGTTGAAAACGTTTTTAATCTTTTTAATGATATTTATGTTGAAAAGAATATTAAACAACGATCACATTCTCCTTCATTTTTTGAATTTTTTTTATTCACGTTTAAAAACGAATATTTTTTTCCTCAGGATTATTTAATGATATAATGGAGGGCGAGCGGATTCATCTATTTTCTCTCTAAACTTAATAATTTTATTTTATTTTATTTTAAAACTGTCGTTGAACAGCCGACTAAATTTTATGGGTTTACGACTACTAATATTCAACTCCATAGCCTTGTAATTGTGAACCCAATTCAGAAGACAGGGGAACTCCTGGATCGATTATTGGGATAAATTTGCCCTCGTGGAGGACTTTTTGAGGGAGCTAACCCGCATTTGCGTTACATGGAGAGAAATACTACGAGAACCTCCCATGGTTAGCCTGACGGTAAGGGGACTCTAATCTATGATCCGTCTTCCACGGAGGATATTTTACGACAGCACTGTGGTCGTTGCAAGCCAACGAAATTCGTATCAACCAACTATTGCTTGGGATTCGAACCCGGTTCGTCTCATTAGAAGACAAACCCTCTATCCCCTGAGCCATCTCGGCTCTAAGCTTAATAATAGTAAATTTCCTTTTCAACTTAATACCAGATTCAAGAATATGAAAAAAATTGAGTAGAAAGTCGTTATCTATCAAGAAATTGTTTCGCTGAAAGAAATTTTACCTATTCTAGTTAAGAAAAACACATATGTTGTGTTTTGAATATTTCTGTCTCATGAAATACTTCACCGATAACACACAAAGACTAGATTTTACCATTCGAAGTCAAAATGCTTTGAATAATATTTAGTTTAAGTAAGAACAAACGTGTTAAAGCTATCTCAAAAATATTTCTAAAAGAAATTGTTAGGTTTGCACCCATGTTTTGTTTTTTGAATAGTTTATTGTGTAAGAAGTAATAAATTTATTGAAATCGGAAGAGAAAACGTATGCTTTTAATTGAATAGTGTAGGATGACTTGATTTTACAAATTTGTAGAAAAACTGAGTGAATATTGAACTATTGGGCATTGAAATAGTAAAAACAAATTAATTGATAATAATAATGATGTTGCATAGGTTTATGATTATTTTGCACTTGATTCACATTTGATATAAATCGACATATCCATATAGTGCATTCATATATAATTATGATTAAATGATAACACAGTTATATGACCTAAATCTGATTCCTATTAAAAACTTATAACAGGAGAATGGAGGAAAAAATAATTCTTACGACAAATCCATATGACAAATCCATATGACAGAGCATAATTTTTTCTGCTTCATTATGCAGTTTTTAATACCACTGTAGTAAAACTATAGTAATACCACTGTAGTAAAACACCGCAAGTAGTAAAACTACAAGTTAAAGAAAAAACATTTGAAAATCACACCATAGGCTTTTCAAAATCTATCGATTAAAGAAAATCTTAATACATTTTCAAAATGTCCACCATTTGCCTGAACAATGTATCGTTAATTGAACACGAAACTTCTTTGAATCAAAAGGCAAAGCAAAAAAGAGTTATATAATATTTTAGCTCCTTCTATCGGAAATTTTTTGAAATGAAACCAGAGACATTGGGAGAAAAATTTTAAACCCTGTTTCAAAAAAAAAAAAAAAAAATGCTGCAAGAATTTTATTTTATTTTAATTGTTCGTTTCTTTCTTTTTTTGTTGCAAGAGATGTTGTTTAACTATTTTCCAGGTTCGCCAGACCCATCTATAACTCATGGATACTGTTCTGTATCTAAGGGAAAGCCCTATTTCAGTAGTGCCCTCATATGGCGAGTATTGTGAGTATTCAAGGATGAAATGTGACGAAGGGTCGCATTGTGAGAGTAACAATGTTGTGAGAGCAGGAAATATTGACTATTAATTAACATGAGATCAAATATAAAATCTATTACAGTCCATTTTACTTATTTGTGTGAGCTTCATTATTTATTACGAGAAAACAATGGTATGATGCCATCCCATTGATTATTTATTATATTATGCTCAGAACTTTAATACGAGAGAGAAACTTTCTTCAATATTTTCGAGATAAAGAATGTTTTTTCCAACTGCATTTAACGTTGTTGATAATTACAAATAATTTATAAATATAGTTCTTAATTCTAATAATTAATTGTTAAAAATCAAATAACTATACTCATTATATTGAAAGCTTTTTGTTTTGTTTCATATGAAAATTTGTAGCAATCTTATATCTTTAAAGTTGGTTCTTCGGCTGCGAAATATAAAAATTTACTAGTGGGCTGCGCCTCCTGCACGCTAACGCTCGCCAACCCCCGAAAATTGCTACGCAATCTTATATGGTTTGCTTCGCAAATCAAGCTCGCTTCGCTCTCTACTAACTTAGGTGCATTGCAAATGCACAAAATTCTAAGAATTCAAAACAATCATTCAAATCCATATAACAACTTTAAAAAAAGGAAAAAAATTACATCTTTTTAGTAAATACTAAGTCATTAAAATAAATTTGAATTCAAATAAATGACATGTAATTCGTTAAACCTCTTAGAAATGTGCTATAGTATAAAATCTTAAAGCGTAACAGCAGGACTGAGACTCATTTTTCAATGAATAACTAATAACAATAATAAAACAAATAAATATTCGTGATATAAATCAAAAATTGTCAAATAAATTCTTAATACATAAATTTGTGAAAGAAAGCGCTTTCGAAGAAATAATAAAATAGAGATCTATCGACAAAGACTACTCACTTCTGTCTAGCTTAATAGTATGAAATTGCCGCAGCTGATAGGGTGAATTTCGGAAGAGATCACATTTGGTGAGAATGCTCTCTCTGGTTATTTCAGTTTCCGTTTTTAAAAGCTATATTTGTTGAGTCACCTCAGCTAGATTTGGCATGTGACATTTTTAGCGGCAATCATTGGTCGATTTTCTAGCGTTGCCATTCGGGGAGTTGTAATGAGGCTTTTTTTGTCGCTGTGTAAGAGAAGTATATGTATAGATAATTGTGGAATTTATTAATGGAAGTGTTTAATATTTGTTATTAGAGTATTAATGGGTTTTTTTCTGAAAAATTTCATTTTAAAAATTAAATAAGATCCTAAAAAATAATTTTTTTATTTTTTTACAATAATACAGTTTTTGAAACTATGCAAATAAAGAAACAAAAAGATATAACGTGATTCATTTATTCGCAGAAATACTATGCAGTGATATACGATTGCATGATTTAATGCTTATATTAATGTATATTTCATTATTTTCCAGTTTTAAATCTCAAAATATTTGCATTGAAACTGAATGAATAAACTCAAAATAACTTATCAAATAAAAAACAAACTTTGAATTTGAATAATGAAGCATATAATTTAAAAATTATTATTTTTTAGTTAATTGAACTTGAGTTAAATGTTTGTATCAACAAGATTTAATTTGTGATAAACGAGTAAGCGTCAGATAAAAATAAATAATAAACAATAATTTTAAATACATATTTATTTAAGTAAAAATTTGAAAAATTTGAAAAGCTGAATAGAAGAAACTTCCGATCTTGGATAAAATATTTGTTAGTTTTTGAATACTTGAAATAGTCAGTGATAAGAAGGCTTCAATCATGACTAAAACAAATCCTTGTCTTTCAGTTTCCTTTTCTGGAATAAAGCATTCAGTGGTATTCTAAAAAATTGTAAAGTACGAATTAAAAGCTTCAAAATTCAAAATTTAAACAAAGTAATGAAATTTGCAAAAGAATTTTGTGTTTAATGTATTTTTTGGCGTAATAGTATTTTTGGGCGTTAGCACTTTTAGGCCTAAATGTAAGTTGTAAAATTAAGTGACAAATAAAGCAAAATAAATTAATGTTTAAAATTTCAGAAATAGCGCACTGTTAAAAAGTATTTTTGTGCCTATGTGTACAAATTTTTTTTTTTAACATAGTACGTTTTGAGCTTAGCTCCTCAATTTGAGATTTCGGGTAAGCGAGGTACTTAATTTCTCATATAGCTCAGTTCAGTTTTACAATATTATAATAGAAAAAATCTCTAAATTAGCCAGTCCATTATAAATAATATTTTTTAGAGTTTTTGAAAAGAATTGGGAAAAGACGATATAGTTTATGTAAATTAAGTAAGATTTCTAAGTAGGAATGAATTATCATAACTGGTTGATAGGATAATTAACCAGTTGTGTTAATTCATTTCATTTAACCATTGGAAAGATACGAATGTAATAAGGTAAAAGGTCTGATATTAAGATCATTATTTTTGAAATTCAGTGTTTATTTATGAAGAAAATAGAAGAGATTGTTTATCTTTGTATAGGTAAATTGAAGAACTATTGAAAAATGTTCATTAAATGGACATAAAACTCATCAAAAAATGGAGATCAAATGATTATAAACCTTTTTTCAAATATTTTAATCGAGATTTCTTTTTTTAATTTTAAAATTCCTCTATGTTTCAACTTTAAATACATGGAATTTTAAGAGTCGATTATTATTTGTTTCGGAGCTATTTTGACACATTTTTGCTCAATTCCGTTTTACAATGTAAGAGTTTTAAATAATAATTTCATGTATTACAAGTCTATTTCCTTACAAAAATGTATTTTAAAGCATGTAGTCACTTTTTTACAAAAATTATCTCCGATAGATTTTACATAAGTGATGGCATTTCTGGAAACGTCTGTAAAATGTAATCTGCATGGATCGTTTGTGTGTTTCTTAGATTAGATTGTCGAACATGTTGAAACGCAAAGTTGCAGAAAACTGTCGAATTCAACAGGATATCCATGAATCCGTAAGTATTATTTCGAATATTATTCGAATATATTCTGTTAATATTATTTTGAATATAGTAATTGTTGGAGATAATTAACTAAGAGGATATGCACATTCCAAGTATAAAATGAAAAATAAACGATATATGTCTTTTTTTCATACAACTTAACTAGAACCTAGCCTGAAGTATATAGAATGTAATTTATTTTAAATTAAAGTTTTGAGCTTTCAAAGAATTTCAGTTGGGCTGTAAATTGGAAGCTAATTATTTCTTTAAAAATTAAATACTTACGTGACAATATGGTGGTGACGCAGTAGTATATAAATAAAACTTTAGTTCATGACTTTCATTGTCTTGTATTTTCTTGGCATGAAATCCCATATAATCCATGATTGAGTTATTGCAATAACATTCTTTGTTATTATAATTTCTGTAGTTCTTGCAATTCGCAGCTGGAAATTTACATTTAGCAATCGAGGACTTGAAGTAATTTAATGATATTGTGTGAGCGCATGTCCTGGCGTCTATGACATCTGAATAAAATAGAGATTATTAAATATTTAGTTGATAGCTTATAAATAAATGCATAGTGTTTATATTTCTTACTGTACATATACTTAAAAAAAGGTTTAAAAAATAAAATTAAGGAAGACTGCTGAACTTTGAACCAATTTCGACTTTTTATTTTTTATGTGGAATGTAATACTTAAAGTAATTTATTACTTGGGAACAAATGAACAAATACTGTTATACACTACTGTGAAAAAAAATAATAAATTAGTGCAAGGTATAGCATTATGTTGTTCCTTGGAACACCTTATATTGTACATTGGACCTTGGATGCTTTCTTTTGGATCACAACAATCATGTTGTGGTTCTTAGCTTTGTTAGATGATAATTTCCTGTGAAATCTAAACTACATCGAATGAATGATAAACGTACAATCAAACAATACTTTACTGGAATATTTCATAAATTTATAGCCTTACTAAGAACGTAAAATTTTTTATATGTTGTGAATGGTAACATTCACTGGAAAATATATTTGTCCTAAATGGGCCAATGAAACTCGCTCTGCACGCAAGGTGCAACAAGCACACTCTCTTTCTGATTTTGTTAGGTCTAACAAGAATAAATAATATTTCTCCAAAAATTGATATTTTATCTGACAGGCATTGATGTTTTTTTACTTATTCAAATTAGTTTTGACCTAAAATGTAAGTATTGTAGTGTTTTACCTTCTAATCAAACTGAATGAGAAATGAAAAACTTAGCAACTAGAAAATTTACAAAAGTTACTAAGCATAGGCCTGAAAACCTTGAGATGGTTCACAACAGAGCAGATTGTACCTGCGGTTGCATTAAATTCTTCACTAAAGGACATAAATCTCTACACTGGTTCAAAGTATAACCCTCTTCCCAGTATATAAATAGAAACTATTACTATTAGTTTCATTTAATTTATTTTGAAGTCATATATAAAATACTGTGTTTAAGAAACCCATTACTGGTGGTTAGTCATCTAAAAGACAATGGTCCTAAAAGCTCTATGTAAAGGATAAACATTCTGGCTTGGTGATAAAAAGATTTCAGTGATAAGTCGTGTTTAGATTGACAATGCCACACTTTACACAGGTATAAACACTTCCTAAAAATTCTTTAAGAATCACGACACAATTGCTTATCAACTGCAATAATTTAAATTTATAAATGCATCCTCTCAAAATCTAGAATTAGGCATTAAAGTGAAATATTCAGTTATAGTAGGCTTAGCAATTATATCCTGTGCGCAATTTTATGTTTGATGTTTCGTATAATACTTCGACAAGTCGAGCACGCCTTTGCGAATTAAGTCAAGAATTTGCACCTTTCGTTTGGCAAAAGAGCTCTACAAGGGTACGTCTGAGCTTAAAGCGCTTCGAATAAATGGAAGCACTATTCATTCGTGTGGCCCCTCCCACAATTTTGACACAGATCTGAAGGAGAAGGAAATTTTTTACAAATACTCGTATTCATGGTGCTGCTCAGCTGTCAATCACAGGACTTTTGATTCCATAGATTTTAAGGGTACGTATATCGTATGAACTCGGTGGATCTTAGCGGATTCCGATTCTCCTACCACTCTGCTACAACGGCTTGCGTGTTTATGTTTAAATATTGTGAGTGATCTGATTTAATCATATGTATTGTAGTATACGAAAAGCAACAGTGGACCTTCGGGCTCCACAATAGATTTTATTCGCAACGAATTCAACGAGATTTACTTTTCAACTTACTGAAAATGGTGGTATCCCCACAACCTGGTTGTCTAGTTCCGCCATTGGGATAAAAATCCACATGCCCTATAGCTTCATACAAGCCGAATCCTAAAAATATAGATACAATATTCATTTTGAGATAAATTAATAATTTAAGAGGTTGGTAAAAATAAACAATAAATATATGTTTGACGAGAAAGAGGAACTTTATCATGCATTAATAAATACTTAAACTAAAGAAGAAAACAATAATATATATTTCTTTTTGCTGGCAGAAATAAGTCTGAGAGGGAGGTCTTAATATTATGACAAGTAAACGCTTGATTCCTTCATTACTTTTTTTCCCTCTATATTTGTAATTAAAAAAATAATTTCTTCTATTAAATAATAGTAAAAGAAGGAATTTTAAAATTGTTTTTATTAAATTTCATTCATTATGTTTTCATATTATTCAAGTTTTTTTTTATTATTTCTGAATAGCACCAAAAATATTAAAGGTGTAATTATGCCTATAATAAATTTTGAAAAATTTTAAATTTTTTTATTTATTACCAATAATAAATATTAAAAAAAAGCGAAAAAAATTCAATCATTTAAATTACTTCATAAACTTTCAGATTTTTTCCAATTATGCATTTTTCTTTTAATAGGGATCTTTAAAACTGAAATCAATTTTAGCTGTTACGCTGTGTTTTACTGCGTTTTTTCTAATTTGCTTTCATATCTGTGACTACAGAATCTTGCTTTCGAAATTTCAACCACTTATTTTTCAATGATATTTTAACATTTCTTAAGGTGGTAAAGATATTGCGCATATATCAACCACTAAAAAATCATCAATAAATTACATTCCTAACATAATTGTTTTAACTGAAAACAACTAAAAATGAAATAAAAAGTTTAAAAAGAGAAAGTAATTAGTGACTTACACCTAAAATGAAAAAAAGAAGAAAAAAAGAAGAAAAAACGTTGATAAAATCATTTTTGAAAGACTTGAGGAAAATTTTCATTGCTTTTCGATTTATACTGCCATGCAAAAGAAAAATCAACGTATGCGCAAAAAAAAAAAAGAAAAAAAAAAAAAAAAAAAGTCNAAAAAAAAAAAGAAAAGTCAAAATTGAGATTCTTATTTATTTGGCATTTTTATATGATAAACTGTATTTATATATACTGAATTTTTCTTCAAAAATAAATCTTGTTTCATCAATTTTAAAAAATCTATTTTAACTTTCATAGCATTAGTAATAGAAAAAAAATAGTTGTTAAGCTACTTTTCTCGAAATCTATCATGAAGTACTTACATTATTTTTTTTCAATTGCACAGCAGCATTATACAAAAGGTATGTGTCCAATTTTTTTTACTTTTAGGTCTCACGAACACATTCTTATACTATCAGTTTTAGTTCATTTTAAAATGCTGTTACTAATATCTTTATTTAAAAATTTTCCTATTTTTTAGCTACATATTACATCACAAGAACTAAGAAAGCAGGTTTGATTTCTTAAATCATTTTTTTCTTCAGTTAGTTTATCCGTTTTACCACGCTGAGTTCAAAACCAAAACTACAAATAATATTAGAAAGCAATAATGACCATAAAAAAAATAAAAATTATAATAAATTTTCAGAAAAACGGTATTCAGAGCAGAAATATATCCTTTTTTAATCTCATCACAATTAAATACCATCAGAATTGCACACTAATACCATTTTCTGGTTTGGAGATTTAAAATGTAACTCATACTTAAATTTGTATTATAATAACTTTTTCAAATTAAAAATTTTATAGATAATAAAGTGACATATTATTTGTAACGGACACTTGTTCACAATTTTAGAGCTTTGAAGCATCAGAAAGAGGGTGGATTGTTTATCGGTTGATACCATTTCTATTTTAAGGTTCTTTTAATTTCTTTTTAAGAAAAGCGAGAGATTGCGCTGATTGGAGATATTGAATTGCGGCCTATACTTTAGTTTTATTTAAGAAACTATTTTAACTTTAAAAAAACTGTGAAATTACGAAATTTCGTTTTATCACTAGGAACAGATAAATACTTGTGCATAATTCTAGAGCTTTGGAACATGGGAAAGTGGGGAGTGGGAGAATCGATATAGAGACTACATTTTTTTAAATTTAATAAAAAGATCTTTGGTTTATATAAAATATTTTTTTGTGTGATTAAAGTGCACTAAAAAGTATTTTAGAGAACAATAATACCTTGAGCAATATTGCTTCCGCCATTTGTATGTATTATATCTACAAATTTGGCGTCAGTTTTATCTAATCGCACCTCATCCGAGGCGTGTTGAAAAAATGGGCCTGCAGGATCTAAGCCTGGAAAAAAAGAAGAAATGATACAATTATAAAAAATCTCGAAAATCACTTTAGTAAATACAGTAAGCTCCGTCGTGCTCAATGTTTTGAGCGATCGACTTATCGGTGCATTTTGTTTCAGGGTGCAAAAACTATAAGATTTAAAACCCTTAAAATTACAGTCCGTGGCCAAATTATTAGACGCACTATATGATTCTATGTAAAATCTTAATTATCAGGTGATAATATACAGCTTTATTGTTTTTTACGCGACTGAAACCGGTTTGCAATTGTTTACGTTCGTTTATTAATTGGTTAAATTAAGTCCAGGTATAATATAAATTCAATGATTGGATAAATTAGACGATATATTATATAAATATAGAATATTAATTATATCATGCATTATATTAGTATATTATAATAATTCGACCAAATTACTAGACGCACTGCAGTTTCTTAACAATGACATGTTTTGCACCAGTTTATATGCAATACTTTTATATTCAAACATAATGGAAGAATTTACCCCGACCCGCCCTTATTTAGGGCATACGGGTAAATGTTTATTAAAATCAAAAAAAAATATCCAGAGAACAGTAGAAACATAAATTACATAAAATACACATCAGACATGGCAACAGCCCATGAACATGGCGGGCGTAGAACAGCTAAAATCATGTAAGGTGCTAAACATTAAAACAGCAATATATTAAAAGTGTCAATTAAAAGAATAATTTAAAAGAGCAATTTAAAAGATAAACGTGCAAAAATTACAAGAGAACAATATTGTAAAACAATTAAAAGCATTACTATTAAAACCAATTAAATAGTACAAAAGTAAGTAACAATAAAATTGGAGCAAGTAAAAGAAGAATAGTTTATAAAAGACATAGAAAAAAAAAATGAGACACCCAAGCTGGAAGGAACAAGTTCCGAGACATTAAAGACCGTCCCCCAATACATCCTCTAAAGTTTGTTTAATAATCTTTTTTATGATATTTCTACAAGTCAGGTTAGCATAGCATTGATGTTGGCCAATATTATTAAAGTTATTGCCCCGGATTGTCTGGAATTGAGAACAATTTATTAACAAGTGATCAATAGATTGATATTCACCACAGTAATTGCATTCTGGAGTTTTGTGGAATAATTTTCAACATTATTCAATCCTATTACATATATTCAAACATAAATGTAATAGGTTTTTATGCGGGAGATTTTTTATATACTTCCTATTTGTATTTATTTTTAATGTATTGCATTACAATGTTAACCAATTAATACACGAACCTAAACAAGTGCAAACCGGTTTCAGTCTTGTAAAAATGATAAAGTTGTATAGTATTGCATGATAATTGAGATTTTACATAGAACCTTCAGTGAGTCTAATAATTTGGCCAGGGACTTCACGCAGGTATAAAGAAATTAGGAGGACAATTCGGAAGGTATGGGAGGACAATTAAATAATAAAACATGACGTAATTAACTTTTAAATTGGTAGTAAAAAATACCACTCGGGTCTCTCTACAGGCAGCTGGAACGCAACTAAAGCTAAACTCAGTGGCTCGACAGCCCATAGAGGGCCAAGGCCTACTGTGTCCATCTCAGTTTTCTTACCCTTGGGCTCTGGGGTGCAGGAGCAGATGTTCCGGTCAGGTGGTCAGCCGAACGCGAAACCCCCAGTGTTTAGTTCCCAAGAATGCTTGGTACTCATTTATCGACACACTGAAGGGATGAAAGGCTGAGTCAACCTTGCCCGACCCGAGGATCGAACCCAGTACCTGTGGCACGGGAGAGTGAAGCGCTACCGCTCAGCCACTGGGCGTCCTGGAACGCAATTACAGGCTTGTAATTTGGTGTGTTGAAGGGGTAAATTTGTTTATAAACTTAACACAAGTTTTTTGTTTTGAAATTCTGATTTGTTCAAAGGTAAATGAAATTTTTAACGTTTTTTCATGCGACTTTTTCTCACTTTTTTCTTTACGTTACATTTTGTTTTCATGGAAACTATTAGACTTAGAAACTTAGAAGGTGAGTAAAAAAGTGCATAAGGAGTACGATAGAATAAAAAATAAAAGTAAGATCTGATTATTAGCTCGAAAATTTTCATCTGAGTGTTGTAAAAAATTCATACAAGCTAATTTATTGCCCACTGAAGTGCAACTACAGAGTTAAAATTTGACGGGCTGAAAAGACCGTTTTCATTTATAGCCTAAAGCGTGTTTTCTTTTTCGAAATTCCAATTAATACAAATTTTATTTCAATTTTAAATGCTTTTTCGGAATACTTTTTCGCTTTTCTTGTTTTAAATGAAGATTTTTATCCACTATTGTAGAAAAATATTTATTTCTTACTCACGATCATTTCATGAGCTCGCGAAAGACTGATATCAAAAATGATGAAAATAATGAATAAGTGAAATAATAATAAAAAAACTAAGCGAAAGAGAGTAGATACTGCCGGATTTAAATTTTATCATTCAAAATCGAAATTTTTGAAAATTTAAAAGGCAATATAAGGATATCGTTATCTATTGTGAACAAAGAAAAATTACTTCGCATTTCTTATTTTTTATTGTGTCACTATTCTTACTAAGCTTATTACTCCTATTCATAAGTTTAAATACACAATGACGGCGGAATAAAACTAAATTTGGTAGACTTGTTTATACAACTAAAGATGATGTCTATTTAAATTTCGCGCTTCGTGCATAAGTTTTGCGCTAGTAGCTCCACTGTGAACATACAAATCAGGGTTGCTTTAAACACGCGTTCTACAGTTTGTAAGAGTTATTTTTGGTTAAATTTCGACATAGAGAGTTGATGTTAGTCAAGAATGCCTTTAAGAAGACGAAGAAGCCATTATCAACAGCTCAATGACTTTGAACGTGGTCGTGTAATAGGTCTGCGAGAAGATGGATCTCCTCTCCCCGAAGGACTGTGGAGAAACGTATTCATTGTGCATGAAATTATAACAGTCGTTGAACAGCTAACCCAATTTTGGATTTACGACTACCAATGTTCCTTTTAAGTCTCGTAGCCTTGTAATTTTGAACCAAATCTAGAAGACAATGGAACTTCTGGATCAAGTATTAAGAGAAATTTGCCACCATCGAGGGCTTTTTGATGGAACTAACCCGTATTTGCGTAGCATGGATAGGAAAATCACAGTTGGCCTGACTGCAAGGAGACTCTAACCCATTATCCGTCTACTACTGAGGATATTTTGCGTCAGCATTGTGGTCGGTGTGAGCTGGGTGCAGAATTCGTATCTATCAGCCATCGCTGAGATTCGAACCCGGTTCACCTCATTGGAACGCTCTATTCCCGGAGATGAACAACTCGCTGTACATGATTATTGGCAGAAGTGGTCAAGGGAAGGTATTTCTTCAAGAAGATCTGGATGGGCACGCAGCATTACTTAGAGGGAAGGCTGCCATGTAGGGCATATGGTATGGCACACCACACTGCATATGCTTCAGAAATTTGAACTACAGTTGCCACTGCAGTGGCACAACGAATTGTAACAAATCGACAAATTCAAGTACAACTCCGCACGAGACTCCCTGTATCTTACATCCACTTACTCGGAAAGACTGCCGTTTACAACGTGAGTGGTTAGAGCTCACTGCTGGACAAAGTAGAAATCTACTGCGTTTCCTGATGAAATTCGGTTCCGTCTTGGTGCCAGTGATAGCCGTATATTGGTTTGAAGGAGGTCAGGTAAGAGCCGGTTGCCGACCTGTCTCTGACCTAGACACACTGGACCTACGCCTGGACTTATGATCTGGGAAGTAATTTCCCATGACAGCAGGAGCACTCTCTTTGTTATTCCACGTAACTTGACTGCAAATTTGTACTTCAACCTGGTGATTCAACCTGTTCTTTTGCCATTCATGTTCAGCATTCAAGGGTGTATTTTCCAGCAGGATAATTCTCGCTCTTATACTGCTGTTGTAACTCAACAAGCTCTACAGAATGTTGACATGTTTCCTCGGCATGCTAGATCACCAAATCTTTCACCAATCTAGCACGCATGGGACATCACTGGACGACAAATTAAGCGTCATCGACAGCCAACATCAACTATCCCTGCATTTACTGACCAAGTGCAACTGGCATGGAACTCCATCTCACAAAATGATATACGTCATCTGTATGTCACAATGCATGCCCTTTGCACGCTTGCAATCAAAATTCTTATGATTACACCGGTTATTAATATACCAGTATTTCACATTTGAAATGATTTTTTATCTTCATTGCATTAACCTGTGACCTTGAAACTTCAATCAGTTACATATGTTGCTCAGATAAACACATTGTCGAAATTTCATTATTCTACAATAACTTTTTCTTGGAGTTGGGATTTTTTTTACATTAGTGTAGTTTGGCTCTAAGTATGGTTGCTTATTTTTCAAATACAAATATTCGTTCATTTTGTTATGATTAACCTATTAACAAAATATTCTGATATAAGCTTATAATAACTTTATATCTTATAAATAAAAAATGTTTCTTTATCCTTATTTTCTGAAAAATCGACATTTTCTTTTTTAAATGAAATAAAGATGAATGCGAGGTAAAGTGTCGGTAAGTTGAGCGAGCAGGGGGTTATATATTAAAAACAAGCAAATCCACACAGATAAACATTTTGCTGAAAGAAACTACTTAATTTTTGAAATTGACTAGTTTTTTTTCAAGCTAGCTAGTTCTTACTTATTAGTTTAGGGTATGAAAAAAATTTGAATTCTTTAATATTGAAACTAAATATGAGTTTCAGTCAAAGTTACCTGTTATTCTGCCTATTTTATTTAATCTTTCTCCAATCCATCCAGCTATATGAGCACCTAAGCTATGTCCGATGATATGAACGCTTTCATATGCGATGCCTTTATTTTTCTGCAGATAAACATGCAATTAATTTTAAGAATCTAGAATGTAATATAATAAGAATATTTATTTATAACTATAATTTTTTGCAATGTTAATTAAAGTGTCTGTTGTCGTTATACAGATTTTACCTACTGTAAGATTAATTTTAATGTTGCAATTTTAATGTATCACAAAACGCCAACAAGGTTTGTAAAAGATTTGCAAATAAGCCATGCATGATGAAACAATGTTAAATTTAATTATGCTGGTTATGCGCAATGAAGCTTGCATTAAGCTTGCATAAACAGCTTTTTTTATTTCGAGATTAAATCCAAAAACACTGCAAATCATTAGTAAAAAAAATTTGTGTCTTGAGAAGCTTAGCATGCAAAGGAAAAAGAGTTCAAAAACAAGGTTTTCATTAAAAGCTAAAGAATTATGTATTTTTTGCAAAGATTTATGTGTGCCTTTATACTGTCTGTAAAAAAAGAATATTTGCAGTGAAACAAACCTGCTTTGTATAAATAATGACTTACAAGTCAACCTTATAAGTGTCAATCAAAAGAAATCGTAAATACAATGTTTGAAATATAATTATGCGGCATGTAAAAGATCCCTTATTGGCTCCTAGCTAAATTAAATTCCTAGTGCACTTTAGCATCCAAATAGAGTCTCGGTGCTGCCATCTAGTGTGGCAGAAACTAGACGTCCAAATTAACATGGCCAACGGTATCTCACCCATTGTGGTGGTCCTGAAAGAGTGGATGCCATTTCTGGAGAACGCACTAGGTCTGCTCAGCGGGAAGACTGATTGTGCAGCTCATAGGAAATTAAAAAAAATGTTTGAAATAAGGTTGTTTATTATGTGCTTGTTATGAGTTGTGCCCTTTGAACCATGAATATTCTAGTCTAGTACTTAAGAATTTGACTTATCGTTCAGGGCATTTGTTTTGCATAATTCTTTTATTAATAATGTCTGTTTGCGAGTTAATAAAAAATCTTCACACTATTTCATTGTCACCCTAGAAGTTTAATTAAAATTTAGAATGAATTGCTAAATATGCTTAAGTTGTGACTTTTGTACCATGAAGAATCTAGAGTAGTACTTAAAGACTCAATTAATTGTTCAGGGTGTTTGTTTTGCTTGAAAATTGAACGCAGGTTTATATCTGGTCATGTATATTTCATGTATGAAGGCATTCTTAACCACAAATGGCAGTTAGCAAGGTTTAGGACAGAATGGATTAATCCAAGGTTTAAATCCTGGTTTAAACCGTCCTGTCCAAAACCACTTTGTCCAAAACTGTCTTAAACTGTCCAAAACCCTTTTGCTCAAATTATGTCACAATTTTATCAGAACAATATTTAAGAGGTAATATAAACATAGAACTAATAACATATTGATAATTAAATCTACTACAGAATATTTGTTTTCAAAAGTATAATGTTTTATTAATATTGTTTGACTCTTCAATTTAAACATTAAACAAAGGAAGATTAATCAGTAATCAAGTTCAATTGGTCCTCTCATTCAATAGTACATAACTGAAGTTGGACCTTGCCATACAGGTTAAGCTATTAGGGACTAAGTGCTTGGTTAGTCATAAACAGGTTTATTTATCTATAGTACTATTCAAGAATACTGTTATTTCATTCATGTTCAATTCTTTTAGCATAGTGGTGATACATCACCAGTGTCAGTAACTGAAACTGATGTTATGCCCTTCAAAACTGTTAATAAATTTTTCAGTTATTTTGTATTTTCAATTTAAACTAATATATTTATATTTAAAAACAATTTTTTTAAAGCATAGTTGTCTTTTTTATCATCCTGTGATGCGGAAATTATATCATTTTTTGAAAAAAATAACGTGAAAAATAAAAGGTTAATTCTTAAAAAAATTTAGTATTTTTTTAAAAAATTATTTTAAATATTGCATTATTTATCCTTATGCAAAAACATTATTTATCAGCATTAAAAGCATATTTATATTTAAAGGATTAGGTATTCACTTTTGTTGTTCAATGAATTATGGAGCTTAAAAAATTATAAACCTTTTCCTATTATATTATATTATTTTCTTTTGATAAGTAAGAGTAAATTGTATAAAAAATATCAAATATTTATTGATGCATGTAATTATTATGTGTACAATGGTTACACCTATAAAATTTTTACCTTCTACCAAAGTTCAAAGTTTTGGACACTTTTAAACAGTTTAGGACAGTTTTACCCAGTTTAGGACAGTTTTTTCTAGTTTAAGACAGTAAAACCCACGTGTCCTGTCCAAAACCAATTTAGGACGTCCAAAACCCCAACCCTGCCACAAATATTACTTAATTAGTGGTTTTTGATCTAAAATTAATTAGTTTGATATTTTGTAATGTAATTCAAATAAATGGCATAACAAAATAACATTTAAAATGCTTTATGAATTTAAATGACTCACTTTTATAATTTCTAAAAGTTGAGTTACATAAACAGCAACAGCTCTCCCGTTTGCAACAGCTTGTACGTACGGATAATTATCGTCTTTTGTCCAGTCAATTATAATCACATTGTAGGCACTTTCTTTCAGCAATTCATCTTTTATTCTCTGCAAGTCAATAACAAAAAGTGAATTTACAAATAATTAGAAAAGGCTAAAAGAAAATGGGGTAAAGCAAAAATTAAGCAAAAATAAATAGGTATTAATCAATACTACACAAGAATGCAGAAAACTGAAATTCGCATGAGCCAAATTGAAAAAAAAAAAATCATTATTTATTACTTGCCCGTCCCGGCTACTTAACGTTATTATGTCTAGCAAAGCATATTTTTAGCAGTTCAACTAATCAAAATAAAGATTAACTACACTCAGTGATATCCAGCATCAAAACTGATGCTAAGGATTATACTGGGGAGTATTTATACGAATATTTAATCTTGTATGATTCGGGAGGGGGGATTTCAAATCTTTAATTAGTTTTGCTCCTAAAGCTACTGGTATTTTTCTGGAATGACATTTTAAGTCTATTTCTGTCGTAATTTACAGGATTTAAAGCGTTATATATAATAGGGGATCACGTAAATGTTGCGACAAAATTTTAGAGAAACACGGCGCTGCTTCCTTATTACAATTCCTTATTTCCTTCTTACAATTCCTTCTTACTGCTTCCTTAAACAATTCGTAATAGTTAAGAGGCCTCAATGGCGTATGGTAGCATTTCTTGACATTGCTTCGTATGTAATTTTAATACTGATGTGTCTTAACTCTTTGTCTTGAGTTTGACTCTACATTTATGTGTCCCTCTGTTACATGTAGCGTTTTAAACTTGTATATTTCGGCAAAAATTAGACTAAAAATGTGAAACTGATTGCAGATATTAAAATAAATTGTTCCTCAGTGTTATCGATAGCTGTTTACAGATGATATGAAACGGGGGTGCCATCTCCTCTGCAGAGGATCAAATTTGTGATGGTATGTCTTCGGATCATCCGCAGGGATGTTTTCCGTACCGTTGCCAATAGCCTACTAAGTAGCTCTAGTGCGACGTAAATAAACTACAGCTACGAGTTAATAGATAATAATCTATATTGATGATAATGAAATAACTTTTGGTTGAAATTGCAACTTGCACTCGCTGTTTAAATATAGGAATCTTCCACAAATGGTTGATTCTGGAATAACAAGAGACACACATACCTAGACATACGAATTTTTTCTTTTAATATTATAGATATGCTAATAAAATACTACTTTAAATATTCAGAACAAAACTAATGGCTATAACTGTATAGGGAAATAGAATAATCCAAAAATCAAAAATTAACAGTATGGTTGGAAAGCAAATGGCGGGTTACGAGAATGGGTCTAGCTTGTTTTAACTGACGCTGCCTTTTTAAGCAAATTGATTGATTGTAAAAGATTTGGGTATTTTTTTTGAGGGGGGGGATTTTTTTGGGTATTCAAAAACTACCTTTACTAGACCTTCACATAAACACGAGAGAATATCGATCGAATACGATGCGATTTGGATTTCAGATAATTTCTTCAAGAGAGTTACTATGTTCAGTTTAAAATTAAAGCTTTGCTTTGCATTTTTTAAAATTATTTTTATTGAAAAAGAGCTTTGAAAAACCTTTTCAAATGTTTTTAAGGGTCTGATTAGATTTTTATTTTCCTTTCTTCCCTAAACTTCATCTATTATTATCCTCCTTTAGATAAGAAAGGACAGCCTTATGACATATAACACATATCTTGATAAAAGTATCTAGTATTGATATCAAATTTTTTAAAAGCTAATTAATATTTAACAAAAATACTTAATAAAACTTTTTCTAAGTATATTTTATAGGTTGAATATTTATTATTTGATTTCATAGCAAGTAAATAAAAATTTGCGACATTATTTGGTTAAAAAATTGGATATGAAATCGAAGTATTAAAGAAATATTTTTTAAATAAGAAGAGCTGTGTAAAACTTTTATTTTTATTTTCAGACCTTCCTAAAAGTTGTTCCATTTAAAAGTGTTCTCAAAAATTTCTTTATCAAGAAAAATAAGTTAAAAAATACCTTTAGTTTGAACGTCTTAAACCAGAGTAAAGCTCTAATTTTTAACTGAGTTACTAATTGTTAGTTAATTAATTTTAATAAATAGTCTAATTTTTAACTAGACTGACTTTCTGAAGAAGTTGTCTAAAATTCTAAACTTACAATTAGCTTTAATATTTAAAAAATAACTCATAAAACCATCGATTTGGCGATCTTTTTCCATTCTGACGAAACATATTAAACTTTATGTATAATTCTTTTTTTTGCATATTTCAATGAGTCTAAACAATGCAATATTAGAGTAACTTCTCATATAATTAAAAAAAAAATTAGCCACAAACACTTTTCCCTAAACTGAGAGTTTCTCTTTATATTGACACTTTGCTCCATTATAGTCCGTTTACCAAAGGAAATCCTCCAACCACAGAGACTATGGTAGTCTCCTGTTATGGAAATAAGAAAAAGCACATATTAGAGAGGAGTGCTTTCGATACTCTTCTTATCAAACCATATTAAAATTTGCCTAAAATGCTAACTCAACGTTCCTACTTGAAAGAGTTTAACCTCGTACATATAATTATTGATAGTGCTCTAGAACATGGTCCCCAATCTCCAATTCGCGGACCGGTACCGGTCTGTAGTTTAAATGGTACTAGGTAGCCCAAAGAACATTAAATTATTTAAAAAATTTTTCCTGTGGTATATTTCTTTCGGGTTTGTACAACTTTCCAAGAACGAGAGGTGGACTTCACTTGATGTAGCATTAATACAGCGCATTTAATTGTACTTTATTTTAAAGACACATTTAAATACAATTAAATTAAAATTATAAAATCAAAGTAATCTAAAATATAAATATTCAATGCCTTCACCTCATCGATCCGCGGTAAAAATGTCAAACATTGACTGGTCCTCTGTGATGAAAAAGTTGGAGAGCATATTGACCAGTGGCAAGTGCAGTTCTTTAGAAATAGACAAACTATACTCAATAAGAAACTTAACATAACAAAAATAACTATAACGAACTTACAAAAGTTCTGAAAAACAGCACATTAATGGCTTAAAATGCAATTTCATTAGACCACAGAACCCTTGTAAAGCAACCTTAATAATTGGGCGACGCGTCTAATGTTAGGCGACATGGACTATTTGCTAAATTTTAAAACTAAATATATACTTACATAAAACTCCAGAGTGTCATTTAAGGTTGTGTTAAAACCGGGGATGATTAATTTGGTCGGTAAACTTCCATCAAATGGCGATGTTGCTATTGAGTCATTTGTTATTCCAATAAAAAAGCTTTCATTCCGGTTCAGCTGTGTAAACAATAAGTACCGAATGCTCAAGTTACCTTCTGGCACTTTACAACTTGGACGGTATAAGCCGTCGGTAAAGGGAGGGTCGCAACTGAAACATCCGATATCATCAAAACATTTTTCCTCGGATGCAACTGAAAGCATAACTTTTATGAGTTTTTCTATTCTAAAATTATTTATTATTTGATATAATAATATCATAAATGTAATCGCTTACAATTTTTGGGTTTTAGCCAATATAATGAGAAGCCACATGTCTTAAAGGTTCAGAAAAGTTAAGCGTTCTTGTTAAAAAAAGGGCAATTTTCCTGTGTAGATAAAATTTTTGTCTTTTGTTTTGCTATTCGCGATCGCAACGAACTATAGGGGGCGTTGTTGTATGAGACGCATACCTGCGATTTCTATATGAACCGTCATTCAGTTACTCTGGAGACGTCGTTAATGTAGCGTGTAGCATTGCAACGTTCCTTCTTTGATGTGGCTTATTAAATTTAAAAAAGAAAAATGCTTGATCTTCTTTCTTGTACAACCGAAAACAAAATGGTTAGCAGAAATTCTGGTGAAGGAACATCCAAAACACATCGGAAAAATATTTGTACATTAACAGAAAAAAATATGTATATTCTTATAAGAGTTAAAACCTAATGCCCGAGAAATAGTATTACTAAATTTAATGATATAACATGA